TTGTAATAATATCTGACGTTGTCTCCAGTCTAAAATGGCGTTTGTGAATGCAGCCTTAAAAGATTATTATATAATATGTCGGGTTTTCCTTTGTAAATTAGCCATAATCTGACTAGGTCGTCTGATTAGCTCTGTCTACCCTAGACATTTTCATTGGATAAGGGCTTTTCTGATAATTTATTTTCAAAACATAGTCATTCTATCTATTAGAGAAAAGAGTATATCACGATCGACAAGCCAATTTATTCAAGCGGGTTCAGATTGTGAGCTAAGTGAACACGATGATGAGCTTAAGTTTGCTGTCACCTTTCATCATCAAAAATAGTTATACCCATTAGCCTGAGTCGGCTTGACTCAAGGGCGTGCAGGAATGCTGATTTAATTTCTCATGACAAATGTGTAGGCCACACAATGTCTTTTAATTAACTTTGACTTCGAGATTGGAATGTAGTTCCGGTTTCGTGTCTTATGAGCACCCCGAACGACATTTTAAAATGCGTCATGCGCGTCACAAGGTCAAGCCACCATTTGGCCACCTGGCCTTGGATGCCAGAGCGTCAGCTAGGGTATGACTTTCAAGGTAATTAAGACCTCTAACTAAGTACATTATTCTATCTCTTCAACCTATTGTGATTCCTAGTCTATTTTTTTTAGAAAAAATGGGTCATGAAGAATCCCTCAATAGATTGGATTGGAGTGCCCTTTATTTAGTTTGAAGAGACGAGTGGAAGGGATTCGTAAGTTGGCCTCACCGGAAGCTGAAGAGGGATTTCCTTGCAGCTGTGGTTGTAGTTTTGTGCGAATAAGTCCTAGGTTTAACGCCCTGCGACCCCGATAAATCATTGCTGGGCTTTCATTCATCATGTGGTGTAACTTTTTAGAGTAGGAGACCATGCTTTATGATAATTCACCAATCTCAAAGACAGGAATGGTGGCCAGCTGTAATCCTACCTACTTCCTATAGCCTATCTTTGTCCACTATGAGATATCCCATGCTTTGATTGGATATCCTATACTTTTCCTGGATACTTATTGAAAGGTGCATTGGCTACGGATTCTGGCTGTTTTGTTGCTTTCCATATATTCACTTATTTTCCGCTTACTGGTATGGTCCCCATATCCAGCTAAGAGCTTGGCATTATACCACTATCTAGTGTCCTATGAGAGCCGTGTGTTCGGCCAATTACGATTTTGGGATCCAAAAACCCTTGCAGGCTGTTTTGTGTTCAGATAACCTCTTATGTATCAGTCTGTATGTCTCCCACATAGGCGTTACCGCATGACCATACAATTTTGTAAAGGCCTCATCTGGAACAAAATTCATAATATTCTCGATCGCTATATATTCAGATCTCATATCTAAACCTAGTTCAGGTGTGCCCTTATGAGCAGTTAGAAGGACAGGATGAATACCACAACTGTGTAGCAGACAATTGGTCAGAGGATTCTGGACAAAGTGCTAGGTCTCCCTAATAATATGACCAAGTTTGCGAGACGAGGCCAAACAACTTATATACAAGAGTAGGAGATCGCGGCCATACTAAAAGCCACATCATTATGGTGCTTATACGTTCCATAAGTGTGGTTGGAAATGAAATTAAAAAGGAAACTCTTGTTTGTGTCTATCCTATACACATCTTTAACCAATCTAGTTCTCTTCACCAACTATGAAATATAAAAAAGGTAAATCACCTTCATAGCAAACATTTAAGGAAAACATGAATTATCCAACCAAATCATGGGATGTCTCACTAAGTGGACAGAGATAGGCTATACGAATTAGGATTACAGCCGGCAACCTTCCTTGTAACTGTCTTTCATAAATTATCGTAAGGCATTGCATCAGGCTCTGACGATGTCAGTCACATGAAGGACGAAAGCTCAGCAAGGATTCATCAGGGTCGCAGGTCGGGGAACTAAGGAATTATTAGCAAAAATATACTGTTAGCTCCAAGACAGTTCCTCTTTAGCTTCCGGTGAGACCAACTTACGAATCACTTCCACTTGTTTCTTCAAACGAATTGGAAAATACCCTAACACATCAGTTTCTTTTCTAATATCCTCCATCTGTTCTCTGCACTAAATGGGGAAGTGCTTGCAGCCGTATTTGAATATGGCAAGAAAGGACATGTAATTAGATTAGACTGATATCTTATTTAGCTTATTACACTGAAACCGGGTCCTTGTCCTGTCCATCATTTCAAAGTAAACACAACCTTCAATTCTGGAGCCCTTTCTACTCTTATGAATAAGGAATCTATATCACATTTAATACTAAATATTTCTTTAACTTTCAGGTCTACGACCTACGTGGTGGTTCAGGTCTAGCTCCTGTTCCACTTTCCCTCGATCCTTGTTTCGTGCGCTTCCTTCATGGCTTCTCTGACCACCAACTTTTGGTAGCCTCACAATCAGGTTGCATTCAGACAGTAAATCAAGCGAACCCTTCTGGTACCGGTGCTTCGGGATTCACACTCAAAAACTCGTTCGGCCAACTGCTTATCTCTTATGATCGCCTTTCAACAATGGATATATCACAAAAGTATTGAATACATTTGTGCATTATTATAACGATTTCACACTCCATTATCCAATGAATCACAATTTTTATTCTTTCTTTTATCCATTTTCATCACCTTCTTTTATCCTTCCTTTATTATCCACTAGGTAGAATTCTTGATTTTATCTCATGATTTTACCAATAACAGTAGCAAAGATCTCTAATGCGACATTTATATTGATTTTTTGTGAGATTGAATATGAATTGTGTTCACCCTATTTCATTTAACGTGATGAATGACTGGTAGTTGATTTTTTCCCACATTGATATGAGTAGAGCTGACGTTTCCAATGTATTTCACATAGCGTTGCTTTCCCAAAAGGTA